ACATTTTTCGATCTTTTTCGTCGCGCTGTGATGACGTCACATACGCACTTTCGTCGACCGCGATTTTGTCGTCCGCGGTTTTGTGGTGGAACCCTGATCGACAAGCTCAGCATCTTAGCCCCTGAGCCACCACATCCCTTGGTTGCCAATAGATCTTTGAAAGCTTTTTCAAAGCATTCTTTTTTTTCCCCCCCAAGAGAGTTGAAATCCTGAACCGGCCGAAATCTGGTTGTTGTTGTGTTTTTTTTTCCTTTTGAAGGGTGAAAAACACCCTGTAGGGCCATCCGCTCTTTGCAAAGCTATTAATAAGACTCGACAGAGAGTAAAAAGGCTTATTAGTCATCCAGAGGACGCCTACGCCCCACTCTTCTCACATGTTACCCCCAGGATAAACTAGAGGCTGAACTCGAGCCAAGGTGAGGTTGATGACTATCATTTGCTGAATAGGTCATCCTGGATTTTCCACACTCAATGCTATGCGAAGTCAGAGAGGTTGCCACTGGCATCCTCACCTAACCGAGCCCAGAAGACGAGGGTTATAGAAGGACAGGAAACTCCGTTCCCTTCCAGCACGGATGTCGTTACCTAGTTTGATAATGAGATGTCTGCAAGAAATGAAGCTGAGCTCAAGGGGGAACCAGGGGCCCCACAAGTCCTTCTCCTTCTCACAAACCCCACTCCCTTCTAGCACTGATGATGTCATTTAGTTGGGTAATGAAAGCTCAGGGAGCACCAAGGACATCCTTTCTTTCCCATCTTCTTCTTCCTCCTTCTCCACTTCTCATACCCCATTCCCTTCTAGTACTGATGATGTCACCTAGTAAGGTAAAAAAATGTCTGAAAGAAAACCACCAAGCTCAGAGAGCACCAAGGACCCCACAGTTCTCCTCCTTCCCCATCTTCTTCTTCCTACTCCTCCTCCTCCTCCACCACCCCACTCCCTTCTAGCACTGATGATGTTATCTAGTAAGGTAAAAAAATGTCTGAAAGAAAACCACCAAGCTCAGAGACCACCAAGGACATCACAGTCCCCCCCCTCCTCCTCCTCCTCCTCTACCCCATTCCCTTCTAGCACTGATGATGTTATCTAGTAAGGTAAAAAAATGTCTGAAAGAAAACCACCAAGCTCAGAGACCACCAAGGACATCACAGTCACCCCCCTCCTCCTCCTCCTCCTCTACCCCATTCCCTTCTAGCACTGATGATGTTATCTAGTAAGGTAAAAAAATGTCTGAAAGAAAACCACCAAGCTCAGAGACCACCAAGGACATCACAGTCCCCCCCCTCCTCCTCCTCCTCCTCTACCCCATTCCCTTCTAGCACTGATGATGTTATCTAGAAAGGTAAAAAAATGTCTGAAAGAAAACCACCAAGCTCAGAGACCACCAAGGACATCACAGTCCCCCCCCTCCTCCTCCTCCTCCTCTACCCCATTCCCTTCTAGCACTGATGATGTTATCTAGAAAGGTAAAAAAATGTCTGAAAGAAAACCACCAAGCTCAGAGACCACCAAGGACATCACAGTCCCCCCCCTCCTCCTCCTCCT